AAATTTTATCAATAAATTATTAATCTTTATTTTATTAGACAAAAAAACTCAATCTACAAAAAAATGAATGGAGGGAGTACAATTTAAATTAAAAATTGTGAGAACTTTTGAAAACGTTCTATTATTTTTTTAGCTGGTTTACAATGTAAATGTATTAAGGTAAATTTTGTAAGAAATTACATATATGAATTTCAATATAAAATTTATATTCAATATAAAACTAATTAATGATAGTGAAATAACTCTTTTATATCTAATATATATGTTTCATTTTTATATTTTCAATTTGATATTTTCCTACTCAATACACCTCCTAAAGTACAAGTTGAAAATGGACATCGAACCTTATCACATAGGCAGTGATGGGGCCACGCTGAGATTGGGAGGCTGTGGCCCCCTGGCCTTTCGAAAAACTTTTAAATTAGTTCACAAATTTTATATTTTAAGAATTTTATCCTTAAATTTTATTTTATTCAATTAATTATTTTTAATAGTTATGAAAATAATTATCATTACTCTTTTGTAAATCTTGTCATTAAATTTAAAATAAAATGTTGACATAACAATTAGTAACGTTTAAAGACTAATTTATTAGCTATAAAAATGACCTTTTAGAAAATTTTTAAGCTTTTAACAATTCTCTTCAATTTCTAAAAAAAAAAAACCTTAGATTATCACCTTTGTAGTGCCTAAAATTAATTTAAAATATTCATTTTAATTACTAATATCTATTTTTTTCCAAGTCAAATATTAAAACTTCACATCTAACTTAAACTTTTTTATTAAGTTAAATCTATTTACTACCATATGCTATATAAATTTTTTATATCTTTCTAAATTTATTACATTTTTTAGATGTTTTTTATACTTTTCCCCACAAATATAGTTAATTAATTATTCAATAATTACCAAAAATTTTGAAGAATAATATATTTTACATTGAAGGTGCTTAAATTTGATTTTAAACACACATTTACAGCTTTACAATTATATATTACTCCATTTGGCCATTTGTAGTTACTCAATTTTTCATCAACTTTATCTTAATAGATTTTTCTATTCGGTACTCTTAGGGCACAGGATAATGGTGCAATAAATTCACCCTATTATAATTAATTTTTATTAAAAATATAAATATTGACTTTGATTTAATCAATTAACCAATTAAAATCATCTACGTGTTAATGATGTTAAAATATATATACATATTAATTTTTACAATTTTTAATGTGAGTTAATAATAAAAAAATACATTATCACAAGTTAGAAAAACCCTATATGAATTAACTTAATATTTTATATAAACAAATATTCAACAAATATTATGTTTGATCTATGTGAAAATATTCAACTAACACTATGTTTTGGGACGGAAAAAATTTTCTGTTGTCATTTATTTTGCTAATAAAATAATCAATCAAGCTTTATACAAAAATCAAATTAATACAATTAAAACAAATTAGAGAAAATTATACTTTATAAACACAAATTTAATTTAAGTATCACAAATTTAACGCCCCTTTTTTCCCAAAATTTGCCTGCCCTCATTCCGAATCCTAACTCAGCCACTGCAGGTGGGTTAATAAATTCTTAGTAACAAGTTTTTGAAACTTTATGGGAAATCTTTATTCCTCATATAGTGGTGATAAATTCTTAGTAAGAAGTTCTTTTTTAACAAACTTAGAAGAATTATTATTTTATTTATAGTAGATAACACAACCAAGCTCAGAATACTTACTGTACCAAGAAAAAAGGGGAAAAAAAGAATATCTTTCTTAAAGTACGTCTTTTACATATTTCCAATGATTTTAATTTTATAAGTGAGTTTTGACTTCTCAATTATGTTGTCAATTATAAGGTTTTAATTTTAGCGTTTATGATTTGCTGTAAGTTGTCTTCTCAACCATGTTGCCAGCTAAGGGGTGAATTTCAACATTTTTGTTTTTCCCTTTTCTTTTTTTGATTGTTTGGCTGACAAGGTAAAAAAAATAAAGCTCAAATTTAGGATCTTAAATCTTAGTCTCTATTTGGTTAAAGTGACCTTTCTATCCATTCAAAAATCAAAAAGTGAACGGCTTCTATAATCATTCAGTCTCTTTGCTTCAAAAGTCTTAGTGCTTTGTTTGATTTTTCTGGTCTAGGAAACATGCTCTAAATACTAATTTCCTCATTTTTATAATAAGAAACCATCAATTCTTAGACAAATGAGTTTGGAGATTCTATGTCCATGGATGCAAAAGATATGCGAGATTTAGTGCAATGTGAGTTCAATGGAAGATTGGCTTAGAGGGCAGTATTATGTGTACAAAGGATATGGACTTTATCCCGAGAAAAGTACAGTGCATGTGAATTGATTGTAAAATGATTTCATCATATGAACCTTTCTTTATTGGGGTCTAAACTCTTAGTCTATGCATTCTTGGATTTATGTGTTTGTGATTTAATTATTTTGCATGTTGAGAGAATTTGAAGTCATGTTCACAATAGAATCTAGTGCCCCCTTTTACCTTTATTTAATATATATTTTGTTTTGTTGGCTGATAAAAATATAATAATATATATACACCTTTTTTTATTGTTATCCTAATGTATAATTGTTAATGTCAATTCCTTTCCAATTTGTTTTGCATTGGATCTTTTAGTTGCTACCATTATTGATATAACTAAGGAAAATGCTCAGTGTACCCCCGGTTCGACACCCGGGGGTGCACACTCTACAAAGCTAAATAATTATAAGAATAAAATTACAAATTTAGCCCTAAAAGTCATCTTTCTCACCATACCCCTTTTTCTTCTTGCCTCTCCATCTTCCTCTTCTAACAAATTCATTATCTTCTTCCTTTTTCCTTCTTCCTCTTCTTTTTTTTTTTTTCTCTCCATCTGGAGAACCCAATCTGGGTTCTCCATCTGGGTTTTGCTGCATGTGGGTTCTGCTGCAGAAACCTAGATTTGGGTTTTGTTGGAGAACCTGGGATAAAAAATGAAAAAAAAAAGAGGATGAAGGTGGGAACCTGGTATGGTTACCAATTGTCTTGCAGATGATTAGGGTAAGGATGGATTTAGTACTTGAATGCTTGATTGAGTTTTGCTGGGATTTATTCTTGCTATCATTTGGAAAATGGGTTTAGTGAGAGGGTAAATTTGTAATTTTACTTTTAAAATTTTTTGGTTCATGTAGTGTGCACCCACCGAGTGTCGAACTGGTGGGTGCATGAATCATGGCCCACTATAACTAAATATATGGTGAAACAAAATCCCATTGACTTAGCCAAATTTCACACACACTATAGATTGAGAAAAATATTTATCAACTATACGTATAGAAAATTAAATAAAAAAATATCTTAAAATTATATTGTTTTAATAAATTTTTATT